TATATCTATTGATAATCATAATTGATAATAAACAATCCGTGACTGAGACAGCAATGTCATAAAAATCCAATTAGCTACCTGTATTTACAATCCCATGTGTATTATACATGTATATTAACTCAAAATTTTGAAACTTTAAATGTTTATATCTAATAAGCTAATTAAGTTTCATTAAAAATTCAAATGCCATTTACTATTAAATTAAAAACTCAAACATTTTATTAAATTAAAAATATATGTTACCATTTAAAAAAACAAAGTTGACACCCTTACCCGGAATAAGGGATGAACTTAAAAAGTATTACATAGTAAATAATTCAAGAATAATGTATAACTAAAGATAATAAAAAAAAAAAATGTTTAAATTATTATTATTCTGCAAGTAATTGAGTGGGTTATGATAAAAAAATCACCCTGTATACATTTTGGGTCTAGTAATTTATGAAGTTTTGATGATGAGGGAGGAGTAAAAGTAGTGAAAGTAATGAATAAACGAAGAGACTCGATGTGTTTCAAGAAAATAAATGTCAGCGTCTGTATGTCCGACCGATATTGGTTGGCTCAGCACCAGCAATAACAATCGACCAAAAATAACATTAGTAAAACGAAATGTAACCCAAATATTTTCTCATTTTTTCTTAATATTGGAATTATCTATAAACTGCGAATCAATTATTCTATTTAAATTAGAGTAAAATATAAAATAACTAAGGAAAGAAGTGTTTTTGAATATTATTTTTCTTGCTAGACAATTAAAAATATATTAAGTATAATTGACTTAGCTTATATTGTTTAAAATTGAATTAATATTATATGCTTTGAATATAATTAAATTGGAATTTTTATTATTTTGTGTGTAATTAAATAAAATAGAATTTAAATTCTTCTTAAATTATTTAAGAAAATATAATTGTATGCAATCATACATTAAATACCCACAAAAAAAAAGTATAGCATTGAGGGATATAGTCGTAATAAAGAGGATAAAATAGTCCAATCATTGTTCCTATGACAAGAAGCCCTTTTAACCTTTACATTGTTTAAGGGACCAAAAGTATTTTAAAATTATAATAAACGGTTTTATTTAAAATTATACAAGTATGTTTGTTTTGCATTAACATTGTTATTTGAGGTTATTTAAAATTTGAATAAGTAATTTTTAAACCATTCTTAAATTTAATATGTTTGTTTGATCTAAATATATTATATTCAATTTAATTTTGGTACTATAATGTTTACTAACACACCCTTCAAAATTGTAGTACATACTGGTATATATTATTATAACCTGATCAGCTTACAATTTAAGTTTTTGAATAAACAGAGTATTACTACCCTGAGCATAAAGTTATAACATGTAAATAAATAAATATATAAATTAAATTTATTAATCTCATGTTTGATATAAATATCGATTACTTAAATTTGGAGTAATAGTAAAAATAAAAGTAACCGACTTGTGCAGTTTTAATTTAAAATTTTTAAATTTAAATTCAAGGGTTTAATTTATGAATGAGTTTTACTATTTTCTTAAATTTATTGTAATTATATAAAACAGATAAATAAATATTTAAATTAAAATTTTTACTTCATTAATTATAGTATTTCAATTTTTTTAAAAAGGTTACTTCATTAAATTATAACTTTATTTAGTATATATATTTATAATGATATTACCGAAAATTTAAAAGTGCTGACTCTCGATCGGAAAACATAACTACCGGTGGTGTCAATCGTTCATTTTGACCACATATACGTGGACCTGTTCCTTGACCAAATGAATCTATTAGCTCCAAATAACCCGACACGCAACTAAAAACAAAAATAAGGTTACGATTTTTTAATACAAAAGTATATCGTTATAATTTAAAACTCCATTTTTTTCATAATTTATTGAAAATATACAAAAATATCTGGTAAAAATTTATTATAAAAACAGCACAAAAGCAAAAATTAACTTACATTTCAAGTTAAAATTTTCAACTAAAATAAAATTTATGAAATACTAAATTAATTTTTCTTCATTCTACAAATAATTTTATACAATAATAATTATAAATTTATAAATACTCATGGAGCAAAATCTTCCTTAGCCTCCCTTAATTGAGCCCATAGATTACAAATGGAGATGTACTTGTAAAGTTTAAAACTAATATTATTCAGTTGTTTTTGTTTACTGAATAATTTGAAAATATAAATTACATAATATACGCTGTACACATCAGTTAATTTTAATCATAGTTTAATTTATTAATTTAGAAATCAGCACAGTCAAAACCAGTCTAGATAAAATCAGTATAGATTAAATAGGAAAATCGAAATTTTGTAGCAAATATGCATAAAAATAATTAAATTATATTCTCTTTTTATAAATATTAATAATTTCAGAAAAATTTAAAATTATTATTTTTTTTAGGTCGTAGGTTTAACCAGGATAATATTTTTGAATAAATTACAAATATCCTAAATATTTTTTAGTAAAAATATAAAAATATATGTAATTTTAATTTTTAGAAAGAATTTTTTTATATATTTACTCATACAAAATTCTTTATTGTATTGATTATCTAGAAGTAAACAGCTTAAAATACGCAAATAAAAGTGTAATAGCCTTAAATATTTTGTAGATCTGAAGAATACACTACAGCTTTAATTAACATTCAAAGTGTACGTATAAATAACTCAATACATTTTTCGAAAAAATATAGTGATTTAAATTTGAAAAAATAAATAAGAAATCGTAAATTTTATCACCAAAATTGCATGTTTTTTATCTACGACAACCATTTTCATATAGAATTGAAGTCGTCCGGACTAATATTTTTTTTGAACTTATAATGCATAACAATAGCTTTATTTTAACATAGTTAGAAGTTCGGAGTATTTCCGGAACATCTTTGAAACTTAAGTTGAATAAGTTAACTTTTTGTGCAGAAGTTGCTATTTTGAATCCCCCTAATGGGCAGATAAAGGGTCAGATTTCCAAAAAAAATTATATCAAATGAAAGAAAAATATTTATGGTTTCAATAAAAAAGAGAATTATTTTGATTTGTTCATTATTCAATAAGTTATGGCTATTTTTTGAAAAAAAAAATGTCGAAATTTACTGATTTTAAAAATCTTAATTTTTTGGAGGATTTTTGCTATTTACGTGGAACGAAGGTAATGTCTTCAACTAGCTACGATTTTTTTTTCTTTTGACGTATCATTGAGAAAAATCTGTAAAGTGAGAACATTATTATAATTAGAAAACGTAGTGACGGATACAAAAAAAATAAATAAACTCATCATGGTAAAATTAATACCTTCTAAAATTGAAGTTCCAAAAATTGATATATAACAAATTACTCCCGCCTAGGCTTCAACTTTCAAAAAATAGTTTAACAGTTAATGCATTTTTTTTATTTAAATAATTTTTTCGTATGTTTCTTATTTATACACAACATTTTTATATTATTCAAATGTACCCTTTTTAAAGACGTATTTTATCACATTGCAAGATATTTGTATTCAAGTGAGATCGCATTTCTTTAAGGGCATCTACCTAACCCTCTTTTTTATACTTAAAACAATTTTCACACTTCTTGATTCTGTATTCGCATTCATCACTATAAATAATTCATAGTCCAAAGGTCACACATATATATTTCTCTGTTGTTCTTGTTATTTGTGTTTTGTTTGAATAAACAAAATAGCTATTCAGTCTCTGCTTCAGGCTTTTAATTTTAATAATCATTGAGAATGGAATAATAAATAATTAAGATGATGAAGATAATTAAGTTTTGCAGTGTTTTCTTCTAAACGAGTTTGATTTGACTGGATAAATAAAGAAATGCGTTATATATTCTCTTGAAAAATTATTTTATGAAAAGTAATGATAATAAAAGTCATCATATAATATTGACAGAAAAATTTTTAATTTTGACTAGTTAAATAATAAAATTTTTCTATAACTAGTAATTTTGTTAAATAAACAACACTATTAATAGTTAAATAAAATTCATTTGATTATAACAAATATTTGAATTTTTAACAATCCAAATGTAAGCAATACACAAATGTTCTACTATCTGATAAAAATCAATAATAGTAAGATACTGCTAAGCGTGTTTCATTGCGCATTTTCATTGAAAAACGCTTTTAACAATAAGCATATAATACTTATACGCGTGTATTATCGTATTAAACTCGTTATAGTTTTAAAACGATACAACAATTGTATGTTATAGAATGTGTATCGTTGTACTTGATCGTAAAAGTTGCTGTTTAAAATTACTATGAACACAATATTTATTTTTGTTCGTATGATTGTTAATGATATTTTTTATACTTAATTTATTATAATATGTTAAGTAATTTATTTGATAGATAATGTACGAAGTGTGAAAAAAAAATAACGAGACTTTCTAAATATAACCTAAACTATTAATGTTATCTATAAAATGATTATTGAAATATGATTAGGAAACACTTATCTAAAAGTATTATAAACATTGATGAAATCGGTTAATTTTCTTTTACGTTAGTAACCTTGTTATTAGTGCGAATTCGACTATACTGCCGAAAAATGTTAAATATAAAAATCGAACAATGTGTTAACATTAAATTTCTTGTTAAATTAAAAAAAAACTGCCGCGGAATCATTTCGTATGTTATGTGAAGTTTATGGTGAAGAATGTTTATTAAGAGCTCGCGTTTTTGAATGGCTCAAACGGTTTTGCAATGGAAGAGAGGACGTGGAAGACGATGATCGTTCTGAACATCCTACCACATGTTCAACAAACGAAAACGTTGAAAAAATCGACAAAATTATTCGGCAAGATTGTCGATTGAGTGTTAGAGCTGTAGCATATATGGTAAATATTGATAGAGAAAGTGTTCGTAAAATTTTAGTTGAAAATTTAAATATGAAAAAAGTGTGTGCTAAATTGGTCCCTAAAAATTTGACGATTGATCAAAAATTTAATCGCAAAGAAATTTGTTCTGACACCTTAAAAATCATCAAAGATGATCCATCATTTATAATCATTACGTGTGATGAAACGTGGATTTTTACATAGGATCCTGAAATTAAAAGACAATCCATGCATTGGAAGACACCAACTTCCCCAAGAATGAAGAAAGCACGAATGAGCAAGTCGAAATTCAAAGCATTGCTCATTGTTTTCTTTGACATTAAGGGATTAATTTTTTTTGAATGGGTTCCTAGTGGGCAAACTGTCAACCAATATTATTATAAAAAGGTATTAATTAAATTAAGAAAACGTGTTAGAAAAAAGCGACTAGATCTGTGGAAGAATGGCTGGGTTCTTGACCAAGACAATGCTCCAGTTCATAGTGAATTTTCAATTCAATGTTTTTTAACTGAAAAAAATATTTCTATACTTCAACATCCCCCGTACTCGCCAGACCTTGCTTCTTGTGACTTCTTCTTATATCCAAAAATTAAAAGTTTATTAAAAGGAACCCATTTTCAAACGTTTGATGACGTAAAAATGAAAACGGCAGAACTTCTAAAAGGGCTAACTGAAAGCGATTGGCAACATTGTTTTCAAGAATGGCAGCGATGTATGCAACAGTGTGTTGATTTTGAGGGAAGGTACTTTGAAGGTGACAATCATTAAATTGTAAAATTTTAAAAATAAATAACTTTTATTAAAAAAGTCTCGTTATTTTATTGTTACACCTCATATTCTTCCAGATATGATTTTATTTCATCCTATAATTTCATTTTTATTCATTTTATTACAACTAAATGGATTTGATTCAATCATTCATTTTTTATAGTTAAATTTCTATATCCTAAAAAAAGAAAAACAATTCGATAAAGCTGTAGATAAACGACAGCGAGTAGAATTCATAGAAACAAGAATAAAAATGAAAAATAGAAAAGGATAGATGAGAGTACAAGAAATACAGGAACATGGTGAATAGAAAAACTAAGAGAGCAAAAGAAGTATACCCGAAAGAGATGTGCTTCTCTGTAGATAATTTTTTAACAAGAGGTTTAAGTGATAAAGCATTATAATTATAAAAATTTTTTTGGACATATAAAAGGGGAGCAGAAATTCTTAGAGGATGAATTATTTTAGAAGATTGAGAAAAATATTAGTTTAGAAGGACTACATAGAAGATTTATATAAAATAGAAAACATGAACAAAAGGCACAGAACCTCAGAAATGGAAAATGAAAATTATGAATCTATAGTACCTTCCCTGTGGATAGAGGATAAGAATACTTACATGGCTCCTCTACCAGTTGTAAGAGGCGACTAATGAGGTTGCGTCAGGTCGACAACCGGCGTAAAATTTTTTTTGTCAAATAGTATGAGATGTCCTGGACAAAACTGAAACAGCTGACCATAGATGATGTGGGAGATCGTGTCAAGTAGAAGTTTAAAAAAAAGGTGGCCGACCCCAAGTAGTTGGGATTAAGGCGAAGAAGAAGATGAATTTATAGTACTTACCATCGTGGTTGAAAAAATTGAATTAGAAATTAAGGAACTAAAGCCCCGAGAATTGATAATCTGAATGTCAAACTTCTAATGGCCTTAGAAGAAGCTGGAAAGAAAGCACTATATAATATTATAATAAACGTCTATAAAACAGGTGAAGTGTCTGAAGACTTCAAAATATATATAATGATACCTTAACCAAAGAAGCAAGAGGCTGAAAATGCGAATAATATAGAACATGAAGACTAATATCCCATGCGTATAACAAACGAATTGGTGAAAAATAGAGAACAATTTTAATAGAAGATTAATTTGGGTTTAGAAAATATATTGGAACAAGAAAAACAATCCTGTATTTTAGACTTATAAAAAATATGTTCAGAATAATTAAATCCGTGTATATAGCCTTTGTAGATATGAAAAAAGCATTCGACAATATAAGGCGAGAAAAACTTTTTCATATTACAGTATAAATTTTAAAGATAAAAGATAAATAATTACGTAAATTATATATTTATGAAAATTTGTGTCAAGAAATTGACACATTTTTAAATGACACACACATCATTTAATAGCTTATTTAATAAATGGAGTCCAGATTTATATTCATTTCTAAATTTTGTTCGAACCATGAAAAAGGTCTCAAGTTTTATAACTCAATCCTATAACCCCAATTAGATCACATTACTAAGTATCAAGGTTTGTTAATTCAAATTTTTACTAGCTAATGGTATGTTCAAAATACTTAATAAAATTTATAAATACATATCAATCCAATTTCTATTAATAAATAATGATATACTTAAGAAAATTACCGGTCGATAACAATTTTAGAATCAGTATTTCGGAAGATATTGACATTTTTATGCATAGTTGGGAAATGACTACAAATAACAACACTCGCGTCTCCCTTCAATCGTCACTATACAATGCTAATAACTTAAAAAATACTGATCCAAAAGTTGTTATCGACCAGACATTTTTTCAACTAGATCATTAATTATTAATAGGATACGGTTTTATATATATTTATAAATTTTGTTAAGTATTCTGAACACTTGAAGACATTATAAATTTGTATAAATAGGTTTGATACTTGGTAATGTGTTCTAACTAAAGTTATAGGGTTGAGCGAATTAGGTGGCTTATTCCTTCTATAACAATAAATAATTTTAACCTATTATATATTCCAACAACACATTTGTACAAATTTGGGTTCTTTTAATATGGCTCAAACAAAATTTAGAAATGTATATAAATTCGGACTCCATTTATTATATAGGCTACTTAATTATGTGTATGTCATTTAAAAAAAAAGGTTGATAGCCTTATAAAGTATATATATTTAAAAGAAACTAAATAAATAATACTCAATATTATTTTAATTTTTTTATTAATTATGTGGTTCATTATGATGGAGTCATATTGTCTATTGGTTTCCATTATACTGAGTTTCTTCTATACTGGTTTCGGCTGTAATGATTTTTTAAATGAATAATTGATTGGTTTATGATAATTCTTTAAAGAAATTCAATACACTTAAATAAATGAATAAATTTAAATAAAGTAAAAAAATCTTCTTAAAAAAAAAATCATTATACCAAGAATAATTCAAAATTTGAAGTATTACATGTCACAAGTAATGTATATAATGTTCGATCATTGTATTTAATGCTAAAATTGATGTGGGAAATATGATTTTTAGACTAATTGGTACCATATCTATTACTTTGTATATTTATGTCTACATTTTTACAGCAGAATTCGATTTACGATTTGCATAAAGAAGTTTATTAGTAGAACTGATGTACCAAATATATACACATGTTGAATTAAAAAAGAAATTTGATTATTTTCCCATTATGACGTTCAGGATTATGATGTATACATGTACAGAAATATCTGTTACTAAAATGTGTACGCATGAAGAAACTGGAGATTTACGCAATTCTAATTGTGTTCTGGTTACCTTTTAAATTTAAAATATTTTACTTGAAACATTTTTTTTTGGTTGTTGTACACAATGATTAATCTATGTGTACAATTTTCCATATGGCATACAACAATTAGATATTGTATACTTTGCTCGAACATTTTATTAAAATGACCAATTTTGAGGGATTACAAATACAGGTAGCTAACTGGTTTTTTATGACATCGATATTAGCAGGTATACAGTATTGTTATTATCAATGGTAGTAAGGCACATTGTTGTGAGTTTATAAATACACTAACTGACAATACAGAAAGTATATCTAATGATAGTCATGATTGATAATAAACAATCCGTGACTATGACAACAATGTCATAAAAATCCAATTAGCTACCTATATTTATAATCCCTTGTGTATTATACATGTATATTAACTCAAAAATTTGAAACTTTAAATGTTTATATCTAATAAACTAATAAAGTTATATTAAAAATTCAAATGCCATTTATTATTGAATTAAAAATTATTTGATTAAAAATATGTGTTTCCATTTAAAAAAACAAAGTTGACACCCTTACAAGGCATAAGGAATGAAAATAAAAAGTATTATATAGTTGATAATTCAAGAATAAAATATAACTAAAGATTAACAAAAAATAAAAAATGTTTAAATTATTATTATTCTGTAAGTAATTGAGTGGGTTATGATAAAAAAATCACCATATATACACATTATAAGGAGGTTTGAAACTTCTTCTTATAAAATAACTTACCTTGATCCATTAAAATGTCCTGCATTTATTAGTCTATAAACTTGTAACTCAACGCGTTTATCGTGTCCTGGATCTAATGTATACCAACAGGAATCAGGACCAGAGAGAGCTGGTGATTTTATTTGACCAAATGTTGAATTTGAACGAGCTAATAGTAGGTCTGCTTTAAGGGTTACATTACACACTGAAAATTAAAGTATTTGTATTAATTTTTCAAATTTATTATTTAAAGAATTAGCATTGAGTATAGATGTACTTAATAATTATACATAGTTTATTTATACCACTGTCCACAAAAAAAAAATGGTATTTGTAGGTGTATTAGGGCTAATTTCTAAGTATTACCGCTCTGATTTATCTAATTTTCAACTAATCAGTGCTATCTTTTTATAAAAATAATCTGACATAATAAAAAATAGTTCTATATATTTTGTGGAATTTGAACAAAAATTCAGTTATTTTTATTCTCATGACAATGTGAAACTAATTTAGGTTGAATAATTGGGCGTTTTAGTATTATAATAGTAATATTTTCCCATATAATTTTCAAAAATTACCCTGGTGAATTATTGCTGTAAAATATTACCTTAAAAAAAAAAACTAAATGATTTCTTTATAAATATTCAAACTTAATTATTATTTGAAGTAATGTATATTTTTTGAAAATTTATGATGAAAATATAATTTTATTGATTATATTATAGTTATTTTTTACTTAAGTGTTAGTCGTATGACAACAAAAATATTAAAAATTCTTTTATATAAATAGTTATTTATTTAATTTAAATAATTATACAAAATTTAATTATTTTTTTCAATAATAAATATTGAATTTTATTAAGAGATTCCTTTTTAGTATTTTTAAAAAATCTCTTGTTAAAGTGTGCCTTCCAAAATGATATGAAATAAATGTAGGTCACACAATATTTCAAGAATGACAATCGGCATAAATCCGTTTAATCTCATAAGTAATCAAGTTTATAGTGTACAAAACAAAAAACACAAGAATAATACACGAAATCAAATTAATTAACATTTAAATAGCATTATTGGTTGACAATATACTGAAAACAATAAGTTAGTATTCAATGTGTTCAGTTTTTATGACATTTTAAACAGCTAAAAGTTTTTTTAATTCATATGTCTTACTTATAAAATTAAAGAGTTAATCATTTTACTGCGATGAGTTAATATGTAGGGTGGTTAATTTTGGATAACGCTAATTTTCAATGAGAGACAATGAGAACTTTTATAAATAATTTTGTTTTTACAATTAATAACTAAAAAAGTTCGTTTTATTGACATATCTTATATCAACTTACACAATTTCTCTCTTTAATATCAAATTTGATGTATTTTTTTACTCATTTAACCAACATTTGCATTCAAAAAAATTTACACCGGAATAATTTTCTAGGGGTTTTATTAGTTATATTTATTTTTGATTAATTAGTCCAAATAATTATACTTCTATGAAAAAATTCTTCATTATAATCAACTTTTGTAGACATATGTAATTTTTGTTTTAAATCAAAGTTTCTTTACGGAGGTTTAAATGGGTGTAAAAAAATAGGGATGCGTATTACCTCGCGCTTATGTAACGCGTATAAACATAATTCATATATTAGAATAAAACTGCAGAATAAATAAAATTTATTGAGTTACATCTTAATAAAAAAATTAATAAATTTACATTTAACCTTCAAATAAATTATGTCTCTCAAACAACAGTGATTCATCAATTGATTTTGCAAGTAGAAAAACAGAAAATTTTAATTTCAAATATTGAAAATAAGCAGAATGCAGATGAAGCTAAATAAAAACAATAAAAACGTAAACAAAGAATAAAGAGAACTTAAAAATTGGAAATATTTTACAGAAAAACGGTATGTTAAAAAAATTTAAAATGTATTCTCATAACAATAAGGTTAATAATTCACCTTTTTCCATGATGTTAATGACATTTTTATTAAAACGCCATGTTTGAACACCGTTAAAGCAATAAAAACAGATCGTTAGAGCACAAAATAATATAGGGAAGTTATGAATTGCTATATAAGCAATCAAACAACTCAAAAGATATTAATCATAATGAATCTCCAACAACACAATATTCAATGTATCACCAGCCATTGGAAAACTCATATATAATTATATTTAATTTTTAAAGAAAAATTTTTTGACATTCTTGTGGTTTTTGTAATCATCTGTGATGGAAAACAGATCGTCATCACATTTTCCAATATATATTACCGGGTTATAACATAGAAGCTGGCTGTTTAAGTTTGTTTTACTTGTTAGGTCGAATTTCGAAACAAAAAATTCCTATTTTATCAGTATATAATGAATACCTTTAATACAGCTAAATTTCCACAATTGGATTTAATTTCCCAGCGGCTATTATCTCTATATAATATTAAATACCATTTAAGCATAATTAAAAGACTACCTTTTATTCATAAACAATATCGTATTTATTATATCTCTTCTCCTTTCTCTGTTTTCTTTTATGAAAATTTTTATAAATTTTAAATAATTAAAAAAATAATATTATTATATTATATTTCCCTGTGGATAGGGGATAAGTATACTTCCAGTCGTAAGAGGTGACTAATGAAGTTGCGTCAGGTTGACAGCCGGCGTAAAATGTTTGTTAAATAGTATGAGGTGTCTTGAACAATACTTAGGCGAATTATCCCATATCGTATGTGTGCGGGGATATCAGGTGAGAGGGAATAAAGTAGTTAAAAATGGAGAAGGCCTAAGGAATAAAGTGTTTGATACCAGCCGGACAACTTGTGCGGTAGCTGTTTCACCAATCATGTGTACAGGTCTACTTAACACTTGTAGTGTCAACGGTATAGGGACATCAACACTTAACTCTAGACTGAACTCGTGTATAAGGGAGAAAAATAGATACAAAGTAAGAATAGGTACTTGGAATGTTTGGATATTAATTGGTAGAAATAGAGAATTAGTAGAAGTATTAAAGAGGAGAAAAGTTAACATTTGTTGTGTGCAGGAAACTAAGCGGAAAGGTGAGAAATCGAGGGAAATAGGTGAGGATTATAAAATAATATACTCAGGTAAGTCTAGTACAAAAAATGGTGTAGGGATAATAATGGATGAGGAGATGAAAAATAAAGTAGTGGAAGTAGCTAGGAAAAGTGACAGAAATATTACCGTAAAACTGGTATTTGAAGATAAAGTGCTGAATGTAATAAGTGTCTATGCACCACAAGTGGGATGTGATAAAATAGACAAGGAAGTGTTTTGGAGAGAGATATATGAGGTGATGCAAGGGGTACTTGGCAATAAGGATATGGTGATAGGTGGAGATATGAATGGACATGTAGGTAATAAGAGGAGAGGCTATGAAAGAGTAAAAGAGATGACGGTGTGGAATGTGGAGGGAGACATATATGATGTGTGGAATAGATTTGCTAGTTGTGTAAAGAATACTGCGGAGGATATTGTTGGTGAGAGTAGGAGTAGAATGCCAGGAAACAAGGGAACCTGATGATTTATGATTGGTAAGTCAACAATGGAGCCATTATTTTGTGTGAGACAACTAATAGAAAAGTTTAGTGAAAAAAAGAAAAAGCTTTGTATGGTATTTATAGATTTGGAGAAAGCATATGATAGACTATCTAGCGAGGTTCTAAAGTGGGCATTAATGAGAAAAGGTATTATTAACATAATAAAAGATATGTATGTTGGCACTTGTACCAGGGCAAAAAGCGTAGAAGTAACAGAAGATTTTAGGGTAAAAGTAGGAGTGCACCAAAGTTTAGCTTTAAGGCCTTACTTATTCTCTGTAGTGATGGATGAAATTACTTGAGAAATACTAGGAGAAGTGCCGTGGTGCATGTTGCTTTTGCTGACGATATAGTGTTAATAGGAGGAAATTAATCAAAGACTAGAGGTGTGAGATCAGCTCTTAAAGAAAAGGGTTTAAGAATAAGTAGAAGTAAGACAGAGTATATAGAGTACGAGTTTGACAAACACGAGAACACGAGGTAGGTGAAATGAGGAGTTCAATGACAATTGGCGATAACGTGATTGGAGAGGTGGAAATTTTTAAGTATTTAGGGTCAGTTGTGCAAAGGAGCGGTGGTATTGACGAGAATGTAAGACACAGGATTAAGTGCGAGTGGTTAAAGTGGAGAGAAGCGTCTGGCGTCTTATGCGATAGATGAATTCCAATAAGGCTGAAAGGTAAATACTACAAGACTGTAGTGAGGCCAGCTATTATGTATGGTTCAGAGTGTTGGGCGGTTGATAAAAAAGTAGAAAAGAGAATAAGTGTAGCAGAGGTGAGAATGCTTAGATGGATGAGTGGAATGACTATAGAAGATAAGATAAGAAATGAACTTATAAGAGGGATTATAGGTGTAACATCAATCGTAGATAAGATGAGAGAAAATAGACTTAGATGGTTTGGTAATGTTATGAAGAGTGAGGAAACGGAAGCGGTAAGAACAATTATAGAAATGAATGTTGAAGGAAGAATAGGTAGAGGAAGATTAAAAAATAGATGATGCTGAAATAATGATGAGATGGAGGGATGCTATTGAATGCGATATGAGGACAGCTGATATGAGCGTAGATGATGTGGGAGATCGTGTCAAGTAGAAGTTTAGTATAAGGGTGGCCTGCCCCAAGTAGTTAGAATTAAGTCGAGGAAAAAGAAGAAGAGCAGAAAGAAGATTTCTTTTATAAGTTATGGTTGCTATAAAAAATGTTTTAAAGATCTGTTAAAAACATAATTAAACAGTTTGAAACAATTAAAAAACCCCATAAGATCAATGTAAAGTTTTTATTTTTTTGTTTTAAACACTGTATGTGTCAAGTGGAAATTTGGGATAAAGATGACCAATCCCAAGTAGTTGGGATTAAGGCGAGGAAGAAGAAGAAAAATAATATTATTATATTATATGTGGCCTGTGTTTTTTTTTCTCTTCGTACTTTTTCTCGTTTTTATTAACATTTGTGTTTTTTTTTAAATCAAATCTAGTAGCTCCGTCAAGGAGAACTATTCTTATTTGGCTCGGCTACTAGGTCACTGTCCAGTGGGGACACTGGGTAGTGGGTAAATAGTAGGCCCTCTGGTTTGACTGAAACCTTACATGGTCTTATAAATAAAATAAATATAAAATAATCGTTAACAATTTTTGATAAATACAACATTTTAAGCTTATTACAATATCAATTACATAATATTGAGAACTTTGATACAGATATTCAAATTGATGACGCAAGTAAACACGTTCTTATAAAGGAAAACCTCACAACACAACAAACTCTCGTATGGAATGAAGATAAATTTTTGATGTTGACACCTGGTGATAATAGTATTCCAATAAGTATATTATGAAACAAATACATCGAAGAGCTACCAACAATTTTCATAATGGTCAATTAAAAAGTATACAGAAAGAATGCGGGTTTCATTTTTATGCAAGCAATAAGTTAATTGCAACTTATAAATCGTTGAAGTGTAGATACACAACACTTTTTACATGTTGTTTCTAAAATAATGAAAGAATGCATAAAAAATTGTATTACTGTTGCTTTCAAACACATTATTTTAAAATTCTGTTTTATCATAAGCTCAAAATAAAGATATTTTTATAGTTATTGATGTAAATTATAGACTTAAAATGGTCAATAGGAAGCAAATTTTAGTAAAAATATTTCTAAAGTACCAATTATTGATACTGTTTAATTACCTTAAAAAATATTTTTGTAAAAGAAAAGTCTGTAATTTTGATTTCATCATAATTGAATATATTTAGAAAATTTGACTCAAAAATAGTTATGATTTTTCTGACTTATTCATTTTTTTTGACATTTATAGCGATTATCTCAACTAAAGTACCGCAATAAATAATATTTTAGATTTTTTTTAATTATCATAACATTTTCTAACGATATAAATCAAAATTATATGCGAAAACTTATAATTTTATTAATTTTCAAATTATTGCTAAATTTTAATGGTACAGAAAAATTAAAAGTATATTCGGAATCGACATCATAAACATTCCACAAACACAATTTTGTCTAGTTATGTAATTAACCTATTTGTTTTTTACAAGCATATTTTGGTTAATATTATTGAATATTACAATTTATAGACATGCTACATTTGAAAATACGAAAATCTATAAATTTGTTGAGATTTCTTATAGAAGATATTATATTTAATGTATTTAATAATAACATGTTTTGAAACATTACTATGTTTTATTGAATTTATCGTACAATTATCTTAATAGGTCATATTGTATTTATACGTATCATCTAATCAGCAATTATTTTCAAATATTTGATACTCCATTTATAAAGATGATGTTAGTAACCCTATTTATTTACAGTCATATTTACATTACAAACATATTTTTGTTCATGACATTTGAGGTATATGCTATTATTCATAATGTATAATCATTTTTAGCACAAAATAGTTAATTTTTCTATTTAATAACATTATTCTTATAACATAACTTACAACAATAGAGATATAATATATATATATATGTACATACTACTTGAGCAGTATTGTTCTAAACCGCATTGCGCACATCTGTTAGGTGCTACAATTCCGCATTGACATCCACCCCGTGGTACACAACAAGCACAATCTTCTCTAGTCAAATCATGATTACATCGACAACCCTGTGCATTTTGTGTCCATAAATCCACTTGACCTAAAGTAATTAGTAACAATTAATCGTCTTTAATTAAATAAGAATATTAAATTTAGGAAATAAATTTTAATTCTAGGATTTTTTGAACTAAAAACAAGTGTATAAATAATCATTAACACATAATTTGTTGACACCATCAAATTGAAGAAATTAAAAATATATTGGGAAGACATATTGGCAGTAATAGGGAGGTAAGATGGGGCCTTCCAATTATTACCCTGTTATATGACTATAAAATAGAATTTTAAATGAGAAGATATTTATGAAGTGTAAATTATTTGGAAGCAAATCGGCTTTGAACAGTTCATGGAAATGAGAAAAATAAAATGTATATTTTGTATATTTATGAATCATTCAAAATGTAATGATAATAATTTAAGTAATAAAGTTATTGTAATTCTAATAAGAGAGGTCTTTTGTAATTGGTATATTAATTGATAATAAGCCGTAATAAGGGGAGTTAAGGAAGTCCATGGCAGATTATTAGAAACTTATTTCGTTAGGTGAGCTGAACAATTTTTTTTAATACAAATAGAATTTTACAATACATTTATTTTTATGACCCTGTATTTTTTGCTCATCATCCTAAAAGTACCATTTTCAATAAAAAAATTAGACTGCCGAATGAATTGCGCATTTCCCATAAATACACTCCTGGAGTGCAGGGAGTTGTTTAAATTACCACCAGTAATTTTGTACCCATTGAAATTATTTCTGCAGGTATCCTTAAAATAGATAATGGAAAAAAAAATTATACAAAAAGTGACCATTTTTAAAAATAGTCAAATTTTTAACCACCCTTGACCATTTTAGTCAGTTTTTATATAAAAACAAATTAGGATAGTAAATAACCATCAATTCAACAAATTTTCAAAGAAAGCAGACATTCTAAATTATTATTTAAAATTGAAAAAAATTGTTTTTTATAAAAGCCTTTTGCTCTAGCCTGGCGCTCACTCGTGTCTCTCTCGAGATCAGCCGTCCAGCTATTAATATGACAATCTGTTGTCATCGGTTGTCTTACCGCCCTTGACACCGAAATAAGGCCGCCGCCGAGTAAGGATTACGGATATTGCGTTCTGTTCCATTTTCAACGTACATCTTCTTAATTGGTCGTTCTATCAGTTTTCTTCTTTTTTGGTTTCGTTTGTTGGTTCTGCTCATTACCTTTACGAATTGTATATTTCGCGTACAACTTATACGATAGTCCGATTCACATTTATGTAAAAGACTACCGATATATTTGTTGTCTGTATACGTATATATACATGTATATATATTCTACCTTTATTTTATCGTTTATGCCATTAGTACGTTCTTGTAAATTATCTGTGCGGCCTTAGATTAGTGTTTCTTTTGCATTTGTTTGTTTTATAATTTACCCGTGTGGCCAACTAATTGGATATGCAATATATTTCAATGTTTAAATCCATCCTAACCTCCCTGTAATTAGGCTAATGATTGAATTTAAATATATATAAGTATCAAACAATGGCTTATTAAAATTTTTAATTAAAAAAATTATGTATTTTAAAATGTAATAATTACTATGACTATCATTTTTACCTATAAGGCAATTTCTAAAGATTTTTTTTTTATTTATTTATAAAATAATAAAATTTACAATCTGTACATAAGAAAGATACAATAAGCAAAGATATAATAGAATATAACACATTTGACTTAAAAACGGGAAGAAGGGAAGCTATCCAGTGATGGGACCCTTTTGACTTGAATTGGTTATTTAGCCATCTCAATATTAATTTAAAAGGTCACGGCACCAGCGTCTTTTTAGACGGCGAGGAGGGTTGTCCGGAATTGTAACTGTATGTTGGTTAGCCATTAATGGATTTGGATGTAGAAGTAATTTGGAATGAAACTTTTTGTAGTATAATTTAACTAAAATATCGACTGGTTCAATGTTTAAATCTTTATGTAGGGTAAGATTGGAGACATACCAAGGAGTGGACGTGATTGTACAAAGGGAAATTGCTTGGAAGGCTTTAATTGTTTTAAACTGCGATGTTTTGGCACAACCTCATATTTGGGCTCCGTAAGACCAAATTGGTCTTAGCATTGACTTATAAATGATTATTTTGTTATGTACAGGAAGTTTTGATTTTAATACAGGACGTAATAAGCTGAATCTAATGTTTAATAGATTTCTTTTGGATTTGAGATGAGGACCCCAGGATAATCTTTTATCAAGTGTAATACCAAGATATTTGACTTGAGTTGAAGAAGGGATAGGAACTCCTTGGAAGAAGAGAACAGGCATATTTTTTTTATTGAGAGTGAAAGGAACATTTACTGATTTGTCTGCATTGATTTTAATTTTCCAATTTGTGGACCATTTATCTATAAAGTCGAGGTGGAGTTGAAGAGCATTATAAGCTGCGATTGGGTCTTTATTGGAAGATAAAATGGCTGTACCATCAGCGTAGGTAGCCAAAGAGGTGTTTTGAGTTTGGAGGATGTCTGAAGTGAAAATATTGTATAATATAATAAAACCTTGTGAAACTCCTGCTAGGATGGGAAAAAGAGAGGAATAAGAATTACCATAACGAACTTTAAAGGTTCTGTTTTCTAGGTACGAGCGAATAAGAAGGTATAGGGGAGCAGGGAGGAATGATTTAATTTTATAGAGTAGGCCAGGATGCCAAACCCTATCAAAGGCCTGAGCCACATCGAGAAAGACTCCCGGACAATATTCTTTATTTTCAAAGGATGATGCTATTATATCGACTAGCCTGTGTATTTGTTGTATAGTGGAATGATTTGAACGGAACCCGAATTGAGCGTTGGGTATTACTTTATGAAATTCTAAGATTTGTCTTAATCTTTTCAAAATGATTATCTCAAATAGCTTACCAAGCACTGGAAGCAGACTAATTGGTCTATATGAGGTTGCTATATTGGGGGATTTGCCCGGTTTGAGAATAAGAATAATAATGGACTGTTTTAAAATGGTAGGGAAATACGAGAGTCTTAACATGGAGTTAAATATGAAAGTTATTAAAATAATTGTTTTTTTAGGGAGATGTTTTAAAATCTTATTTGTTATCAAGTCATGCCCAGGTGATTTATTGGACTTTAATTTTTGAATCACATTTACAATTTAATTTGGAGAGACATAGGTAGTGGAGAATCAAAAAAATTATTTATTTTGATTAATTGAAAATTGCTAGGAATAATATCAAGGTGAGGTGTGAAAATATTCGAAAGGTGTTCTCCAAAAAGATTAGATTTGTCAAGATCAGATAAAGCAAGCGAACCATCTATTTTTTTAATAGGACAGGAAAAATCTTTCAGTTTAAGCATATTTTTAGTGGTTTTCCATAATGAACCGTCCTGAAAGTTGAAGGATTTGAATTTCGTGTCAAAGAGGTTGTTTTTATATTTTTGAATTATTTTTTTTAAGGAGTTAGATAGATTATTGAAAGTAGACTTGTCTGAGGGAAGTCTAGTTCTTTGCCAACGGGCGCGGGCCCTACGTTTTTCAGCAATTAGTATTTTTATATTGGAAGGTAAAAGAAAAGATTTTAATTTTGAATTGGAATTTTGAGCGGAATCATAAGAACATTCATGTACAGCTGATTGAATTGAGCTGACTAATTGTTGGGCTGCGGAGTCAATTTCGTTGCAAGACTTTAGAGGGATTTTTAAGTTTGTACTATTTTCTAAGGTTGAGGAAAATTTATTCCAATTTACAGGTCCTTTGGAAAGGGAGGGGCGAGGAGGATATTGTGTTGGAAATTCTTCAATCTTTAACAAAACGGGTGAATGATCAGATGATAGGTCACATATATTATAAATAGAATAATTTATATGACCCGGGATTGATGATATAAAAAAATCAAGTAAGTCAGGTAGTCTATTCTTATGAGTTGGTCAGTAAGGAGGTGAAATAGTTGAAAAACCGTAAGATAGAATAGAATTGTAAAATAGCCTCCCTCTAGGGTTTTTAACGCGACTACCCCATAATGGATGCTTGGCATTAAAGTCTCCCCCAGCGATGAACTTGCGTCCTAATGAGGAAATAAGCTGCTCTAAGTGGGGCTGAGATATGATTGGTCGAGGAGGACAGTATATTGCTGAAATAATTATAGGATTATGATTTATTGAAATTGAGATATTTGTTACTTGGACAGTCTGTAATAGTACACTTGGTATAAGGTGGTGTTGTATTAAGGATGAGATGAGAATTGCAGAACCCGCATGTGCCGTAACATCTGGGTGGTTTGTTTTGTAAATATTGTAACCAGGAAAAAAAATGTTTGGAGTTATCTGTGTAGTGTGTTTCAGTGACTAGAGCTATATCAATTTTATTATCTATAAGAAAGTTTAAAAATTCAGATTCTTTTTGTTTAAGACCATTAGCATTCTAAAGAATGATATTAAGAGACTTATTATTAGTTTGATTATTTGTCATAATTTGGAATTAATTTGTTAATTACGGTAGTAAGTAATTGAATTAAGGGGTAAATGGGTTGCTTGAACTCTATTAAAAAAGAGGATAATTGGTTGTTAGATGAATTTTCTGGTGAGTTTATTTGAGAATCGTCTTTACTTGAAAAACTATGGATTTGGGTATTTTGAGTAAGATTAGGAAAGATTTTATTGTCTGAGATGTTAGGAGGGGTAAAGTGAGTCCCATCATTGGATCGCAACTCCTGATTTTTTACAATAGTGTTAATATTTTTAAGGGGTTTGTTAGATTTGAGATTTGACCGTTGTAAGTTTTTGTGTACTGAGCAACCACGGTAGTTTGCTGTGTGGTTATCTTTACAAAGAGCACAAGTAGGAGGGATATCTTTTGATTTAGTACACTGTGAAGTGGGATGGAAGTCTGCGCAACGAACACATCTAGGAGGATGAGCACAATATCCTTTTGAATGACCGTATTCTTGACAATTTATATTTGATGTATCATTTATTTAATGAATCACCCTGTATATAGGGTAATTGATTTACCATGTCCAACTAAATTTCTTCTAAAA